TAATTTTGATGTAGATTTGTTCAAAAATCATTTAATTTGACCTTAAATCCGTATTATTTCTTCTTTTTTGATACAAAGATATATAATTAGTCTCTTATTTTTTCAAAAATTTTAGCTTGATTTTTATATATATTGGGAGTCCTCCTCAACTTGTTTTTTTCAAATTATTAGTTTTTTTACTATTATTATTTATTTTTTATTAAAAATAAAATTTTAAAAAATAATCCAAAATAGATTATAATACTTTACGTGACTATTGAATTTTCATATAAGTTAGTTTTTAACTTTTGATTCATCAAAGTAAGTAAAGGTTATAAATGTATCTGGCTATAACTAACTTTTGACTTGAGTAAAAAATTTACAAAATCATGTCAAAATTTTTATTTAATAAAAAATTATTTTTATCATTTTTTATCCTTGAATTTTAATTCGTGCGTGCTATGTACTTTTAAAAACCTATTTTAAGCTATTTTTATTTTTACTTGTTGTATTTCTAATTTAAATATCTCAACTCATTTTCTAAAAATATTTAAGAATAATTCCATAAAAAACATTTTTAATAAACTAGCTAATGAACCTTTCTTTAAAAAATATTTAAGTATAAGTATATATAGATAAATAAATTTAAATCAATACCTAGTGTAAAAATCATTTTTGATAAATTAGTTAATAGACCCTTACTGCATTAGAATTCAAATTAATCTCGATCTCAGTGTAGAAAGGCATCAATATTATTGGTATGTTTTTTAATATCAAGAAACTTGTTAATCAAAGAATGAGATCAGAGTGTTTGTGTTGAATACAATTAATTAAAAAAATATATTAATCTACAAATTTAAATAAGAAATCATGAATGCTAATTAAAGACTAAAGTGAAATGTTAATTTCTATAGTAAAAAAAAAAAACATAAAAAATGCAAATATATTGCCATGATTATCCTTTCCTTTTATATATTTAATTTATTTATCTTGGTGATTTAAAATTGTTGTTAAATAGAAATGATTTCTTTTATTACAAATACATAATACATATAGAATCAATATATCTCAAATTCAAGAGAAAAAAACAAGGTAAATTATAATAAGAAATAATGGATTATAAAATTTCAATTGAAAACTTTTTTTATACCATAAAAATAATTAGAAACCTCTCTAAGCCAATTTTTAACCCCAAAATATCATTTAATCACTCTAAAATATGAAAAAACCTAATAGAGAGAGAGAGAGAGAACTTTTCTAGCATGTTCAAACGACACTACCACTGTCGTTGAGTTATTCTTTCCAAGATGAACTCGCTGATATGAAAATCAAGCTTGTTATGGCCAAAATATGATTGAACTTTTTCTTTGGTTTCTTGACATTCAAGGACTTGAACGTGATAGAAATAAATTGGGGACTGGAACATAAAAACAGGCGAGAAAAAATAAAATTGATATGTTTTAGTTTTTTTCTTATAATAGCTAATAATTTAATTTAATCTTAATTGCTAATGTTAATTAAGAATGAGCTCTCGTTACCTTATGACGTGGCACCTGGACTATTCCAGTGTCATCACATTGAAACTTTAACGTGGGGCCCGCCCTTTGATGGGCCAGCAAAAGTAAGGACTCGAGGAAAGGGCGGTAGGCCACCCATTAATTATCCCTTTTTTTTATCTTTCCGTGAGGCTGGTCCATTTCTAAACTTAAGGCCCCCACTGATTTAGAAGATCCGGTGGTGGCGCTGTCGTGGTGGTGAATGGGACCCATCGACCATACCCACGACGTCGTGATATTTTAATGGTGATAAGCATGCCGGCATATAAAACACAAGCAACCTCAACTCCCACGCTTCACAGCAAACGTGAATGAACCGTACCTCATTCTCCGCCATGTTTTGAGACGAGAGCTTTTAAGCGTGGCTTTGGCCTCCGAGGTTAATTTAAATACCTGTTAATTAATTTTTTTAATTAAGGTTTTAAAGAGTTGATTTTATTTGATACAGTTGAATTCATAAATCAATCCATGATCGGATCAAAAGTAAATATCATCTTTCTAATTTATTTTTTAAAAATTTTAAAAAGGTGAATTGGTACGAGAGGAAAAGCCCGCGCTGCACTTGATGGCAGCCTATCTTTCAGGCGCATCGCATTCACATCACGCCTGAACTGCGACCTGAAGTTGTGTACGTGGACCCCCTCCTCCGGGGTGTCTGGCTTCCGATAGGTAGAGAATAGGCCATTGACCATCGTAGTGTAGCCCACAATCGTTACAGTCTTTACGGTAGTAAGGAGAGAAGGCCCATATAAGACATTTTAGCCTACAACATCTTGTCCCTCGTTTTGCTATCCACCTATCAATCGAGGACCCCGCCTTTAATGCTGTTTGTATATAGGTTTGTTTTAAAAATATATTTATTATTATTATTATTAAATAAATGTTTTAAATTTTTTATTAATCTTAATGTATTGAAATTAAAAATTAAAAAAATTATTTCTAGATAGAAAATCTTTTAAAAAAATCATGTACCATCGTACTAAACACATGTTTTATGTTAATTACTTTCTTTTTGTCACCATGCTCTTGGATTGATTACCTGACAAGTATTAGCCAACGGTCGATGTTATTCCCATTTTTTTTTTTGTTTTTTTTTTTTAGTAGAAGAGGAGGAGCATATCAAGGGACATTAGTTGGTTTTGTTTTAATTTTATATGGTAGTCGTGGGTTGGAGAACTTTTATAGTTCTACTGAGTGATTTAATTATTTATTTTTTGAGTTTATTATAAAAAACAAGATAAAACTCATGATCTAAAAAATAAAAATATCTTCATCTAAAATTTTATTTATTTATTTACTTAAAATAAATTAAAAAATAACTAGTAAAATACCACTATTTACCTAGAGATATTTGCAGATTAGTTTATGTATATCAAATTTAAGTTAATTCCTAATAAGTTTTGGAAATGTAATTTATATACAAATTAATATGTATTTAAAAAAAAATACCTGAAATGCATAGTTTTTCAAGATCTAGATTAATAGCGCTGAGAATATTCAATGAGCAACTGGAATAAATACTCAAGCGTATAGTTTCTTAGTGTCGCCTTGCCAGAAATATTAGCTTTCTTACCATGGAGATTTGACGCCCCAAGGACAATAAGTACAATTAAATTCCCAAAAAAACTGGATTCATTTGAATTTATTTTAAACTTCATGAAGTTATATATATATAAATAAAATCTAACGACGATGAGACCCGAACAAGTTGGAGCTTCATACAAATCAACGTTGAATGCTCATGGGGAAGAGGGGATGTCTGAGTCACTAGAACCATGAAAAACTATTATTATTTTCTTCACAAATCCTAAATTCGGTCCCTTGAAAAATGAAATAAAACAAAATAAAGGAAGCTGATCCAGAAGCACAGTTGAAAAATATTTTAAAAAGGATGCGTGATTTGTTTTCCACAAAAGAATCATTATCGAGGAAAAACCACTTTCCAAATGGACCCTGTTTTCTCATTGTCATGGGTGGGACTTGAGGTGGGATCTGGGCTCCACCATTCTCATCATGTTCAATGGTGTAGAGCAAGAACTCCCTCTGAAAATTATTGCTATTAACAAAGCCAATTAGGCACAGAAAAACAATGTGTACCTTGATACATCTGCATTTTAACTTATAGCTTGAAAGTGCGGTTGTTGTTGCTTTTTAAATAGTTTTTTATATCAAAATATATGCTAGTAATATTTTTTTATTTTTAAAAATTATTTTTAACATCAGCACATCAAAATGATTTGAAAACACTAAAAACATATTAATTTGAAGTTAATAAAAAAATAAAAAAATTTCAAATTTTTTCAAAAACACTTTTGAAACGCAAAAACAAACATACCCTTAAACAGGATAATAGTGTCTTCATGTAATATTCCACATCGATCAAGGAAATGATCACTGAACTTATTAAGAGTATAGGTTGTTAACTTATAATTTTTGTTTTTGAGTTATGGGTTTAGATATGAGCTTGTGTTATCATAAATAAAATTATAAAGATATTAAAATTTAAAATAAATAATATATAATAAGTTAGGTTGGATTTTTATATTTTAATTTTTAAAATTTTTAATTTTGATGTTAATTTGATAATAAAAATTTGATGGTTATATTGAATCTTGATATTATATGAAAAAACAAATTGAAACTGAAAAGAGAATTTCAACCGGTTTGATCTTGTAATCCTGGATTGTTTTTTGGATTCTTTACCTTAATAAATTACTTTTTTTATGTTATAAAATTGTTATTAGATGTTTTTAAATATAAATAAATAAATAAAATAAGTTTTAAACCGAAAAAACCAGCTCAACATTTTTCAACTGCCGCAGGTGATCGAAAACTGGACAAGAATAGACTACTTGAATTCTATCTTGTGTTTTTCACCAAAAAAAAAGCAGAGGTAGCCACTTACAAAAATAAGATAAAAAAATGACTCACGTGTTGACCTAAGCTCTTTCTTTTTAAGGCCCATGACTCCGTATCTAACCTCCTTTTATTTTAAAAATAAATAAAAATCCTCTATTTTGTTTACCATATATTTATTTATTTATTTTTTAATTTGATCATTTAATTTTTCTTTCTAAAAGAAATTTATGTTTTTGTTTTGATGTATTTAAAGTAAATTATATATATTATTTTTAAATTATTTAACCTAATATAATCAATGATTTAAGTCGCGAGTTTATCTTGTTAAACTACAAAATGAAAATTAATCCAAGTTGTCATTTAAATATATTTTTTTAGATATTCTAAATTAATCTTCAGTATATATTTAATTTTATATATATATATATATTATAATTTAATTTTTATAAAATTAATTGATATCTCAACATCCAAGTAATAATTTTAACAAGTTAATTAAGATTAACACGCAACCCTGTTGAATCGATGTTCTTATTAATTTTATTTTTTTGTCATTTAAGTTTATTTTTTGCGGAAAAAAAAACGTCTGGTCCTCAAAATTTAAAAAATGAGATATTGAGGATCTCTTTGACTAATAATCAATTAATGAGATAAAACTAACATGGTACAGGGTCCATTTACAATTGCTTGTAACCACTTCAACATTATAAACAAAAGGAGCATCAGATACCGTCATCAGATTCATCACCAGTCCAACCAGAACGGGGGGCCCAGTTAAAAATTAAAATAAAACCCAGGGCCCACGTGTCATACTAAAGTTTAGGACCCCACAGTTACAGATAATCGAGGCCACGTGTTGTCGTTCCAGTCAATCCCCACTCTCGATCGGACCACCGAACCACCCCGTAGTAGGGACAAGCGGCCGCTTTGCAAGCAATGCAAGAAAAGAAACGGTCCCATTCGGACCCCATAGCCTCTTCGGGACCCGCGCCCACGTCAAATGAGGAACCGATCATGATGTTCTAACGAAAACAAGTGCCCGTCTTTTTTGCGTTGCACGGTCCACGGTGCCCAGGTCTTTTTGCCCTTTCCCTTCTCCACACGGCTGCTGAATCATCTTTTTGTTATTTTTTCCGTCAAAGCAGTGGAAGCTGTCTTCCAAAAAAATAAGAAAACTATGATAGTTTTATTTAAAAAAAAACCTAAGTTTAGATTTTAACCCTAATAACTTACAAATACCACAAAAAATGTGGACCCCCACCAGTCTCCTCTTATTTGCAAGTGGTTACTGTTGACCCACCATTAATGTGGACCCTATTCTCCGCCTGCTCTGCACTACTTTACACGTGCACAACTTTAAACACCCTCACGTGAGCACGTGCTCTCATCCCCATCCACGAATTAATCCCCCCCATTATTTTTTTGAAGCTTAAGAGATACGTAATCCTGAGCTCGAATAAACTTGTTAATGGCGGACGCCACAGAATGGATTAGAACCCAAAAAATCCACCAATGAAATCCTTCAATTTTTGTCATTGCTTTGAAGACCGAGACATGAACTGTAACTCTTGTTTGTCATAAATCTCTAAAGAGAAGTCTCTAAGCATTTGAGGAGTGCTATTAGTAGTTGTACTTGTAGTCCGAGTAGTATGAGCAGAGCTTGAACTTGGTGCCGTCATTGAAATACCCTTACCAGGTTTTGAACCAGAAACGGGCAGAGCCACAGCTATATTAGATTGCATGGAAGACACGAAAGATGAAATTGGCCTGGGAGAAATATTTATGAGAGGACTAGCTGCAGCTGGGAACGTAAATATCTGGGGCTGGTTAGACGGTCCTGGCATGGACGGTACCATGAAAAAAGCCCCTGGAACGACCGTGTTTGATGGTATGGCCCACATGGGCACCAAACCCTGTGGTACTGCCGTGACTGGTGGTTGCGCCTGCGGCTGTGGCGGCTGTCGCGTCGTTATGGGAGCGAGAGAAGCTGATACCGATACGCTGTCGTTGACATCAACGTACTCGCTATTAGCGGGTCGTTTGCGCTTCTTTTTAGCGTTCGGTTCGTCAGGTTCGGCGCTGGAGCTAGTTGTTGTCGGGATTTTGAGGGTTCCATTAACAGACATGGCAATAGCAGGGACAGTGCCAGTTCCTGTAGCTGCAACTATCGCAGGCTCAGCATGTTCGAGCAACCACCTGATCGTTTCCCCGTCTGATTTATGGCCTAATTCTCTGGTTAGTTGAAAGATCCGGGCAGCACATGTTGCGGGCATTCGGATCCTTCTGCCACGACCCTCCACCTTGGTGTGTCGGTCTTTGGTTGATGCCCGTTTTGGTGGGGTTACTGTGTTTAGTGGCATGGGGATTGCTGCGAACGGCACGACTGCTAATGGTGGTGTAGGTGATCTGTCCTCTGTGCATGGCTCTTCCTTTGGTGCTGCCGACATGTCGTTGTAGTTCTTCTTGCTTGTGGGGCCTCCTCGAAAGTTTCGTAATTCTCCACTGTTGATTCTAAGATCAGCGGTTGTCATGCTCTCATCTTCTCCAAGTTCTTGCTCTTGTACGGGTGCCACAAGGAGAGGCCTGTCGCCGAGGGAAAAAAGAGAAACCCAAAAACGAAAGAGAGAATTGAAGGGAAGGATCGATACAGAGGAGGGTTTGTACCTGGTGTAATAACAGGGTCGGAGAGCAAAGGAATGGGTTATATATAGGCATAGAAAGGCATGTTTTATTGCATAGTGATTTGTGAAAGGCCTAACATCTGATAGGGGAGATCTACGGTTACCTGCCAATCACCAAAAAGAGTTGGACACAGGAGATGTGATGTAGGTAGGTCCCATGTATAAAAGGATCGTGATGTTATCGGTTTATAAATTGGTTTGCGGTATAAATGTGTTTCTGGGAAAAAAAATAAATAAATATATATATATATAGCTTTAGATTAGTATTTTTTAATTATTTAAATTCATTGATTTTAAAAATAAAAAATATTTTAAAAAATAATTTGTACAGCTCTTTCAACATACTATTAATTAATTGGTGGGGTCAAATGTGGTGAGAAACGCCTCCAAGGAGGACAAACACCAGATCATATAACCCTTGGAAGCTTGTGGTACTTTTTTGTGCTTTGAATTTTCTTTAGTGGTGCCATCTTCCAATTGGTTTCAAGTTTCCATCTTTGCTTTTTAATCCAAGTGAAGGATTCTGCCCGTCTATGCTCCCTCATGGTTCTTCTTCTTTGCCCATTTTCAAGAAAAGTTACCAGAATAGTTGAGTGGTGGATTGCTAAATCGATGCTGCTCTGCTCCCAAGTCCCAACCCAGTTTGAATAGCACAGGATCCTCAAAGCCCTTCATTATTCACAATGAAGATGCGAGCAAGCTAGATGCCCGCAAAATCAATCCATTTGAATTTTAATCGAGCCTCTCCTATAACACAGCCTTCGGATTGGGCCTCGCATACCATGTAGATTTCTTTCTTTAACGGGTTGTTCGAAACATTGTGAATTGAATTGATTAAATCTTAATAATTAAATTTTAAATGGAATTTAATTTTTAAAGATAGTATCACAATAAACAAGAGACCATGCAGAATCACCGATGTTTATTACATGTTATTATTTTCTCAGAGCTAAAATATTATTTATTATTTATTTATATTGTTTACTATTGATCAGAGCGCGTTGAACCATTGATGAACTAAAAAAATAGTTAGTGATAATTGACAAGTTTTTAAAATTTTTTATAAAAATTTTCAACCAAATTAAAAATTTTAATTATAATACACCGGTGCAAGAATTAAAAATAACAACATTTACTTGATCATTAGTAAAATATCCAAATATCCAAATTAAAATCCCTTAAACTATAACATACGGACACATTTCTCCTCCCCTCTCTTTCTTTGCAGCCCTTTCTTTTATTCTCCTAAATTCTCATCTTGCTTTCTCTTTTTTCACTTCTTCTGTCCTCGATCCATTATCTTTTCTTCTCTTTTTTTTCTAGCATGTAGGTACGTCTTCTTCTTTTTTTTTGTCCTTCATAGCGAGATCCTTTACTTGAAAGTACTAGTCTCGATGAAAAAACAACATTTAAATGTAAATTTGTTTTTTTTTCATATTGACATGTTAATATTTTTTAAAAACCTAACTTCAAATAGTGAATGTAGTTTTAAATTTACAAATATTGAGGCTATCAAAACCATAACTTCGACAATAAAATCACAAATGGAATTTCATTTATCTAGATGGACTTAATTTTTCAAACATCTCGAATGAAAATCAAACTTAACATTTTATGGTATGTTGTTTTTAATATTTTTTCTTCGATTATTATTTTTTTGAATTTTTTTTGTTGTTGATTATAAATGACTCAGTGTCAAGATAGTTAAACTCGATAGATTGGTAACAAATATGAGATCATTGATGAGTGATGCATGTGTCTCCTCTTATTCACCCCACAATCTAGACGAACTCCGGCGCTTTTATTGTAGATTAATTTTATTTGAACTAATAAATATTTTAATTTTCAATTGATTTATTTAAAAAAGTTTATTTTTGTTTGGTAGATTTTTTAACAAAATATATTTTAAAATTATTACCAACAAGGTTATTGTCAAACATAGACCATCAATATATTTCAAGTATTTTTTTTTTAAATTATTGCTAACACTACAATCATTATTTACTCACCAAATAAATAAGAAACAATATATTTGATGGTTACATGTTAAATTTATTGACAAACATACCAATAAATAAAAAAAAATCACTAATGAAATGACACATAATTTTTCTATAGGTGATATCTTATATTCAATGATAGAAATACTAACAAAATAAGGTAGGTAAAATTGTTTTCTCCGTGTTTTATTCATCAATAAATTCATTTATAAAATTATTATAAACAAACTCATTAATAGACTATAAATTATTAATGAATTTTTTTTTAATAAATTATTTTTATTTGTGATTATATTGGCAAGTTTGGGGCTAATAAAAAATAAGCATATATATACATATACATATACATATATATATATATATATAAATTTTCTTTTATAAATTCAAAAATTCTGATAATGATATACCTATTCCTTTTTTTTAGCGCTCTTCTCTAAGGGATAATATGGAAAACAAAACGAATTCAATTCACTAATAATATTTCGTTGCTTAAATTTGACCACGCAAACTACCATGGGCGGAGCCAGGGGAGGCTGGCAGTCCCTTGCAATTGTTTTTTTATCTACCCCTCTTAAATAATTTAATATTTCAGAGCTATAAGCCATAAAATTTAAGTTTTAGCATGTTTTTAGATTTTCTTTTTTTCAAACAACGTGCCTTTGAAACATGTGCAGGAAATAAGAACTTCAGACCAGAACTTTTCTGTGCGTGCAGGGTTGGCCCCGTGGACCCCCTTAAGGAGGGGTCTAGGCTGTTTTAATTAGATGCTGCCCCCTTTTACTGTGCCAATTGTAGCCATTGCAATTTTGTTTGGTCCCGTCTTAGAGCTAAGAGATTCATTTCTCCTTTAATGATAATAATTAAAACTACAGTAAATCAATATATATACATATATATCTATATTAAACGAGATTAATTTTTTTAAGATAAAGTATATTCAAAAACAAATTCTTTTAGATATTAATAATAATAAGGTTTGAGCTTTAAAGCATTAAAATAAAGAGAAAACAAATCTCTTTAATCACATCTACTTCGAGGATTTATGACCGGGAGTTGTTACGAGTTACAGCGCACAAAATAAATCCTCGTTGGACCACTAATATGGTGCCACGTTAGCTGGTTTGGTTTCTAAGAGCTTAAGACCCAAAATTCAACACGTGCTGCATTCATCCTACACATATTTTTCAAACCCACCGTTACGTGTGAGAGATTTTATTTTATTTTGAGAATAATGCTGTTTTTATACCAATAAAACATTGTTTTTTAAATCACTTTCCATAAAATGTCAATCATTAAATTTTTAGCACAATAGGCGTAGCACAGTGGGCCATGCCTACCCGTGGACCCAGACAGCACGGATAGTGGTTGAGGAAGATTTGAGATCGTTCATTTAGGTAACGCCGATGGTTTCAGGGCTTCAAACTGTGCACACAGCAGTGACACAGGCCACCGGTAAACAGTGAGCTAGGTCTCTTAAAACTTGAAGGATGGCCACCGCATTCATTTTGCCACCGGTAAACTTTGTTCTTGATTGAGCTTATCCTTTTCAAAGTACTTTTATTTAAAAATATTAAATTAATATTTTTAGATATTTTTTTTTAAATGATTTGATCACAGTTTGAAAGGTCATTTTTGTTTTTGTTGCTTGCCATTGTTTTTTTCCATCTCAATTTACGGTACAAAAATTGAGTCCGAAAAGATCATAAATTTATAACTTGTCAAACACACTCATCGATCACACGGCGCCGGAATGTTGTCTTGTGCCAGTTTGACACCAGATTCAAGCCTTAGGAGGGACTGATCAGGTGAGCTCAATTCCAACGAGCTTCACAGGAATAAAATTTTAAAAAACATGTTATTGTGGGGAGTCAGCGGCAAAGTCTGGGTACCCATCTTGCAACGTACGGCCTTCGCTATTTGAGCGGGCCCCAATATCCATCTGTTATCTGACGTTTCAGATTTCCATCTGATCACCTTTTGATGGACCCTACCACAAATAAGAGAAGAGCCCTCTACCTTGAAGGTGCGGATTCCTCGACCAGTGGACCCAAGCCCACCATGCAATGGTGGTGGACCAGTTGGATGGTGGGTGGAACCCACCATTTTCACCGGCCTAAACTATAATGAAGGAGAGCTCGCCGGTCACCAGAGGGAGGGGACCCTCATGGCCTCGTCTATATGTGACGAGGGACCCCACTACCTTGAGTAGGCCACAATGGGGTTGGGGTATGGTCATAGACCCACTTGCCCTTACTGGTCTTTGTTCTCTGTTCAGTTTAGGGGACCCCTACAATGGATGGATCCCTTGTCTGTGGTACATGAACCCCACTATAAAACTTTAACACCAGCACAAACTTTTGCCAAGTGCCCCACCACTACCAACCAATGCCAATGCAACACGTCAGTAGATTAAAGTAAATTATCTTCTGGGTCTTTCTTGTGGGGGGGAATGCGGTTTGGACCACTTCGAACATGCCTTGGATTATTAGCTCATGTCTTGGTTTTGCAAGGGTCAAGTCTCGAATGATCGTACACATGCACAGTGGGGATGAGGATCGATATGTTCTGTCGGTTTTGTAAAAAAAATCAATCAAGCAAGGTTTAAGAAACTGAAAAATCGAATCAAGCTTGAAGGTTTATTTTATTATACACAGAGATGTAGTCGGAGTGAAAAATCTCACATGTAAATTAAGCTTTTCATGGCAGGTTTGATCTGTATAATTCACCGAAAAGAAAATGTTTTTTAATAAATAAAGAATTCTCCCATGCTTATATTAGTTGGTAAGCAAAAATAGAAAAAAAAAGAAAAAGTAAATATAAAATGTTCAGAAATGTACATCTTTTTTATTCCCTTGGCGCGTAACTTGATCTAATTTCCTTTTTTTTTTTTTTTTTTTATCATCACGGTAAACCTTATGATATTTAAATTGAAACAAATAAATAAATAGAAAAAGAATATTAAATCAAGATATTCTTATTATTCTTGATATGTCTTTAATTTAATTTAATTTTATTTTATTTATATATATTTTTTCTTCGCATCTAGCATGCATCATTCAATAACTAATAAGAAGAAATACTAGTTTCAACTTGAGCACGTATCTTCACATATATTATTAGGAGTTTTTTTAATTAATATGAGTATTCAAGTTAGTTTAAATATATTTTAATTAATTTTATAAATTTTAAAATAAATAATTATATAAACTTTTAATTATTAGTATATTAGCAACTAGAAATTTAACTTGATAACACAGGTAAACCCTTGCATGTGAGAGTTTTGCTGAGCTATGTTTTATTTTATTGTGATTTCGTTTAGTTTATCGTCATTATTATGAACAGGTCCAGAGAAGTCTGGGTTCCCGAAACAAATTGACCTGTTGGTCTCTTTGTTTTGGGTTTTTTTTTTAATTATTATTAAAGAAAACTTCACTTTAATCTAAACAATGACAATACATGGAATAAATCCATTCATAACATGCCATCATCTTAAAAAATAGCCATATACAACGGTTGATTCTCATACGCTCTTCATTTCTACAATGCTTTCTTTTTTCAGATTTATTTACTTGCAATTCATCCTTTCAAATTACATTAGCATAGTTTTATACTTCAAGATTTTCTTCTTGCATTCTATTACATACACGACGTGTCTAATAATATTTTGATGTTATAAATTAAATATAGGTGTTCCTTTTTCATATCTGTTGTTCAAAGACCACGGAAAAAAACTAATTTTTTATTTAAATTTTATTTTACCCCTTTCCATTTTCATCCCTTCATTTCTTGTTACGTTTCAATCCTTAGATGATGAGAAGTAAGAGAGAAGATCACTTAAAAATATTGAAAAAAATAGAAAGTATTCAATTGGCTGTATACCAGTCACAAAAATATCAATTTTAATATCAATAAGTATTTAATAAATGTTGTTTTGCTCTTCAAATATATTCAGAAAAGTATATCAGAATCCATAAACTATATTTTGATCCATTTTAATTAATTATTTTCAGATAGATTGAAGGGTGTTATAAGCTTGCAAATGGTTTTATAGAGGTTTTCATGATGACTTGAGGTGTTTTTAGATTAAAATAAATTAAAATTTAGTTTTATAGGATCCAAAAATAAAATAATGTATTGTCTTCGCAAATAGACAATACTTTATCCATTATATTAAAAAAATTAATGAATGATGTATTATTCATCTACTTTAAAAAATAAAAAGTTAGTCAAGCAAGCCTTGCATTTTTAGTCTTATCATGAAAATCTAAGTCTTTTCTTTTTTCTTTTGAGTTTGACATGTGTACTTATCCTTTCATGTTTAAAGGTGTTTATTGATAATTCTTAGTTTTTTTATTTAAAATTTTTAAATAAAATCATTTTAAAAAAACTATTATCCATTTATACTATAGCTTTCAAAATGATTAAAGTTTTTTATGGTAATGTTAACAATTACTTTATAAATATTTATATATCAAACTTAAACTGGAATTTCTAAAAAACAAATGCTTCATTGATAATAGATAATAATAGAATATATATTTTATACATGTGGGTAAAAATATCTATTCATATTTTGTTTTTATTCCTCATTGAAATTGATTCTCGTGATTATAACAAGTTTTTATCTAAAAAAACAATGCCATGTTTCCTTGAAAAAAAAAATGAATAAGGAAATAACGTTTATTTACTCTTCAATTCAAGGCACTAGAATTTTTAAAAATATATATTTTTATTTTTTTAAAAAATGTCACTATAAGAAAAAAAAGCTATAGATAAAAATTAATTTTTTGCTCAACAATTGCCTTTCTCATTAGATAATGACCACCACCTACAGCGCTAAAGTCACTATCTACAAACGACAACATTTTTCTCCTCAGCTTTTTCATCGAATGAGGGCCCATTGTGAAAATTTGAAATGTAATAAGATGGGCTGGGCGTGTTCAAGGGGGTCCGAAGAGTCTCAAGGCTCACATCTATGAAAGGAAGATTGAGATCGGATGTTCGCTTCGTTGCCGGGAAAACAAAGTTGTTTATCATCATTCAGGCCATGGGACGACGGACTACACCTGGATTATAAGAATACTTCAAAGTACAACCATTCATTATGATAATGATTTCAGAGAAGAACTCGAGTTAGGATGCATTGAAGGAAAATCAAATATGGATGTTGAGGCACAGGTCATGTCCCGAAACTCCATGGCCAGTGGCCTCCCTGTGAAGAAGTTTCTGATTTCTGGCCCTTTATCCTCGATGAAAAAACAGGACCTGGGAAACATTCTAATCACAAATCCTGTATAAAACCAACGTGCGTACGAGGAATTTCAAATCAGAAATGCTGCAGTTTCCGAATCCGATGGTTTCAGTAATCTCTTGTGAAAGTCTGTCATAGGCTACTAGATCCAGAACTACGTGCAGCTACCCTCGTCGCTTTGCATAGCCATGATTCCTAATTTGTATTAACTTATAATAGTTGACTTTTATATTGTTTATTAAATATTTGTTGAAGAATACAACTCAGGGAATCTATTTTATCTTTTGACCTCAACATTTAAACGACTCAAGGTCCCAAGAAAACGTTTTGGTAATTCCCTTCTCCCGTCATCTCCCAACAACACCAAACCCCTAGAGACCGGCATTTAATTCGTTTAGAGGATGAAGATTACAGTCCACACCCCTGGACACAGGTATTCATTCGTTTAAAGGGTTTCAGAGATGAAGATTACAGTCTTGAGTTTACAAAGGAATGAAGCTAGAATAAGAACACTGAAGTGCAAGCTAAAAGGACCTTTTTCAACCGAGGTCATATGAGAACAAATGCATCACAGAAGCAGATGCATATTGTTAAGACATAGTAAATAAGAGAACTACAAACAAGAATTGAAAAACCGTCACCACCGTTCTAAATATAACTTAAACAGAGAACTGACTTTGTTAATTTTTTTTTTTAAAAAACATAACGACTACGATATAACTCACTTTTAAGCATGAAAACCCATCACCACCGTTCTTTCCCCACCGATTGGGTTGGTGTAAGTTGGGTTGTGTTATTTCATTTAACTTCATATAAATGGCTTTAACAATAAACTAGGAAACTTGAACTTCCATTGTAAGACAGTAGATGTAACATAGATATCACAATACGACCCTCCTTTTGAGTTGCAGCACTAGGTGTTTTCACCCAGTTATGGAGAATTAGACACTTTACATAAGCAAATCAACAGATACTAGGAAAAACAAGAATACTTGAAAGCGTGGTGGAGTGCATGGCCATGCTAAAGCATCAAATACCACACAGAATCATAGCTACTCTTACATAATATGGAAAATAAATCTATTTCTTCTTTTTTCCCGGAAATCCAGCGTATTTCAAACTTCATAAGGTAAGCAAAGCATTCGTTTGAGGATATAACAAAATTACATATCTTAAAAATTCATTGCTGATTTTTTTTTTTTTACAAAATTTTGTTGAATTTTTTACGATACAGATGAAAGCAATGCAAGTTTGAGGCAGTCATCTGACACTTGTAACTGCATCCAGAATGAAAACTATTGAGAAAACAAAGTAGGACAAATTCCTATTACTTTGGAAATAACTTCACCTAAAAATCATAGAAAATTTCGAAATCCAACTTCTTTGCGCTGTCCATTATGATCCAGACATGTAGGTGTACCGAGTCTGAGCACCAACAACAAGCTCAACAATTTTCGCTGAATGTTCATAAGATAATTGTATGAAAAACATGAATTTTCCAGAAACAAACTCAATCATCAAGGTGTAAACATTATGCAACAAAAAAGTAAAACTGAAAAGAAATAAACATGAAGCACCTGTTAGAAGCCCAATGATGGGAACGGGTTCTAGTAGTTTTTCAGTGCTTTGAAGTCTTTGCCTGAAACGATTAACAAAAATAGTGCTGAATCTTAGATTACTTTATCCTGTGGAGATTGCCACTACGAAACAGCAAAGCTTAGCAAGAAACTTAGAAAAGAAAGCATTACCTGGTGTACTTGCTAAAGAATGGATCTCTCATAAGGTAAAGCGCCCATAACAATTTTCTTCTTTTCAACTGATTCAAACATAACATCAACATCCCTTTAGCATCAAATCCATCAATTAATGTGTATTACATTCACAAAAAGAAATGAAAAATTAAGAGCGGACAGGATCATCCTGAAGACAATGGACTGGAAAACAGTAAAATTCTGTAAAACTCTAACCTCATCCTGTTCAGAAGCGGTAAGATGACAATCCCTTGATTTAGTAACCTGTGTTAAAAAGCCTGCTCCTATAGTGTCTACAGCCAGAGAAAGAAACCAAGGAATCCACGACCGAATTCCATACTTCCGGATGAGCAACACATAAATAAGGGGTCTTGTAATGAACAGGACCTCTCCCATGAGAAATAATGCCCCCTGAACACCTTTCTCAGATAAAATCATGGAAAGTGATGGCCTCTCCATCATTTGAGCTGTCAAGGTACAATTTCAAATATTACTTGAGTTGACTTATAGATTCTATATTATTCATCTAGCCCCAAAAGAAAATTATTAAGAATGATTATACATGGAGGCTCCATGATAGCTTGCTTATGTTGAACCCCGTGCAACCACACTGGATCAGAACCCATCCTGGCATTTTCTCCAAACCTGCTCAGTGCAGACAATGCCCTTCCTTCTAGATTCCATGGCTTCTGTCCATTAGAGCCACGGTGGGCTCCGTGCTTTTGGAAACCCCCACCATTATGCTGTGAGCTTGAGAAACCCAAATGCTTTTCAATATTTGGTGTCTCTCCTCCATGCAGAAGCATCTTATACCCACTATTCCGGAACAAAGCCAGCCTAACTAGCACCCTGAGTTACAGGAATCCAGAAATATCAGCATGCTGGTACAATTCTAAAAGCCCAGCTGAATGAGATAAGAGTCAAATAATATAAAGCTGCTTACTTCGTAGCTTCTGTAACAGCAATGAAATTCCATTTCTTATCATCACCATAGTAATGTTGAGCTGCAACTTCAACCAATGTTTCCAAATCTTTTATAGCAGATATGCACAACGAATATGGGAAGGAATTAGGCTTCACGGGATCAGCAAACATCTGGGTTGGCGTTGTATCGATGATATGCTCATTTATAGCAGTGACAATGCCCAAGATTGCAGTTACTGCAGATAATTTCTAACTGTCTCAATATAGCAGCATTTTTAACTTTTCAATGTAAATGAATAAAAAGAAAGAAAAAGATAAAGGAGTCGTCATTTGGTTTGTGAGATGAAAATATACAAGGCTAAACAGAACTCAAATTTGGAGATTTTAGCTGTTTACTTATGGAGCCTGAGAAAGCAATAAAACTCCAAACTGAACCTCATACAGCTGCGCGAGTGTGACTTGCTAGTTCTCATGGGTTCAGGATGGGAGCAACAGAAAACATAAATCTTGGCGTATAAAATTGTTTATAATTCCCACCATGTTCCAAGGTTACTTAATAAGGGAAGGGAAACTCAAGCTAACAAGAAATAGCCAAAAGTTACCAAAGTTTCACAAAACCTGCTTCTGGTCCTATCTCTGAGGCGGAAAACCGTTCAGGAAGAAGCCATGTCAATCCCTGTGCAAAATTTTTGAATACCCAGATCAGAAAACAGTTTTCAAAAACATGCAGCACATCCACAACAAATTCACCAGAAATGATCACATTTCTATGCCACTGCCAAGTACCAGTAATATCCTAACTATTAAAAAAATCAACGAGGCTGAACAATATTCTATGAAACAAAGACTCTTAACTGGAACAGCTAAGACAAAAACCAAATTCATTACATAGATGAAACAAAAACCACCGCTGATATCTTAACATACTTCCTGTCCCTGATCAATTTTCTCTCATCAACGATGGATAATATAAACAATCTAAGCAGCAAATTACGCAAGAATTTTCATAAAGCAAGGTCCTTTAATCAATTTTCTCCGTGAAAATCATGATAACACTACTCAACAGTAGCAACAAAATGCAATAACCTCAAATTCATATCTAAACACGTCTCAAGACCAGTTTTTTTTTCCCAGGATTTTCTCGATGTCTGAGCTAAAAGGTAATACAAAGAACCAAGAAGAAAACCCCCCAGGCCAAGACAATCAAATTATGTAATTAAATGGAGAGAATAGGCTTACGTTGGCAAGAGACTCCAGTGAGTGAACATAATCTTTATTCCTTCTGACCCATTTCTTATAAGCCTCCATGGCTTCGAAACCTCTTAAGAAAATAAAAATAGCACACAGAGAGACTCAGCTCTCCAACTAGTTGAATCTAAAAGCTAACAATGCTCACTTGAATCTAACTCTCTGTCTAGTGTTATAGGATCAGACCCAGATGAAGAAATACAGAGAAAAAGAAAACTCTTTTGAATAATTTCGATGTCAGATGATGCGGATGCCCCAGTAATGCTCGCAGCAATTTTATTTTTTTTAATTTGTAGAAATAATATTTTTGTATATCAAAATAGTTTAAAATAAAAAAATCTTTTCAAAACGCAAAAGTAAACACCGCCTTCGAAGAAGGGGCCGGTTGTTGTAAGAGGAAGAGACAAATGATAGGAAATGACTAATGAGGGTTTTGTTGATGTGTGATAATTTGTTTTGTTCAAAGTTGTTCTTTTTATCCTATCCGTTCATCCGGATAAGAATTTGATGTGTCTGACCGTCTGATGTAAGAGTACGTGTTTTTGTGGGTTGCAGGTTAAATATCAGTAGATGGGTAGTTGACCGTTGGATCACAATTTGTGTGGTGGAGATCTTGTATCGAAGGTGAAAGTTTCGTGTCTTTGTATCTAGAGTACAAGGAGAGAATAGGGAGTGGATAATGTACTGGGTTCCGCTGCTATAAGTTATTTCATTCGAAAATACGGTAGTAGTGATAATTTAAAATATTTTTTATTTAAAAATATTTTTTAATATAATTAAAACAATCTAAAATTATAAAAAAATTAAAATAATAAAAAGACGATTTACACTGTACACTGCCTCTCTAATCGGAGCCGAATAGGTGGGAACGGCTAAGAGGCACGTCTCATATATGATTGTTTTTTTCAATTTACATCTTCAATTCTATTTTTTTAACAGTAAATATTGTGACTTTTATATGTGGATTTATATGCTAGAAACCAAATCATGAGAGTAAGAAGAACAACAATTATATCGAATATCATGTAGAAATACATCTGGCCAGGTAGAAATCATAGAATAAAAATTGTTAAGATGAAGCATGAAATAAGAAATATCAAAGTGGCATGTGCATACAAAATAATATAAGAGACAGAGACATCAATTTCAAATTCTACGAGCAAGAAGTTTTCTTTCATTTTTTGCGGGTCAGTGCTCGGCCTGAGAAGTCCGACCACCAGATTTTACTGGTCTTGGCCGAGTGTAACAGTATCCTCTGAATATCCAGTTCTAGCTAGATCGGCTGGCTAACGGAGTCACTCTATTTTCCGGCCTACACCAGAGCTAAGTTTTTCCCTGTTATCACTATAGCGACTCTGAGCCTTTTTCTTTAATTTGAAAATAGCTAAAAAAACACATTCCCATATATTCTGGAAATTAATGAAATGAAAGGTGTTTGTGTGCAAGTTAACTGGCACTTACTTTAGCAGTAAATCGAAAGGAGCAGGCTTTAGCAGGTGCAGGAGTGGCAGTGCATAGCTCTTGCCACCGTCTCCAATACAAGCTGCAGCACCCTCCTGCCACTTCTTGGCTCTCCATCTGGGCTACTAGTTGGCTTGCTTGAACATCTTCACGAGAGTGAGAAATTCCCATTTCTTCTTTCTTGATCCCGTCCTCTCCCTTGGATTCTAGCAGCAGCAGCTGGTCATGCATTTTGACTCTCTTGTTCCCATTAAGCTTGTTGCTGCCACGATCTTGGCCAAAACCAGTTCAAACTTACCTGTCCCAATTACTGCCTTTAAATTCGAGGGTGTCCCTGTCCATTGAATTTGAGGTAGCTCACTGTCCATTTACCTCGTAATAATTCGCATTTAAGTTAAACAAACACGGGCTGCGTATTTATTCAAAATTGCTACACCATCTTATTAACTATTTATTGCTAGGAAAAATATTGGTTGACATTATGTTAGACAGTAAAAATAGAATAATAAATCTCTCAGTTTTTCTTTTTTATTAAAATATAAAATTTACTTAAAAATTATCTAATAAATATATTTATGTTGTATCTCTAACTATATTATTTTTGTTACACTAGTCAAATGTAACTTAAAAGATTTTTGCCCACTTATGACCACTTCAGTTTGTCCCTACCCTATGCCTGTATTTTTTTTTTGTTTTTTTAGTGTTTGACATTACATAGATGTTGGTTTTTAAAGTTTTTTTTAAATATTTTTTATTTTTTAAATTTATTTTTAATATCAATATAAATATAAAAAAATAATTTTTAAACAATGCTCATTAATTAAACAATTTAAAAACAAAGTCGTATTTAACAAAAGTTAAACTTAGAAAACATTAAAAAACATGTAGAACATTAGCTTAGATGAGTTTTTATAGATAACATTATCAATCTCTTTGACTTAAATTATAAGTTATTTTTTAGTGAAATTAACTCAGTTTTACCATGTTTGAAAAACCTAGGACTCAATTTTTTAACTTTTATTACTCATTATTTTATTAGAATATTCGTTGTTTATTTTTAATAAATTGAAAACGTATATATAATAATTTAATTTTTTATATAAATAGCAATATAATGGAGATTAAGAAAAAAAAACAAGAAGATTTCCTGGTAAAAATAGGAGAGAGAAAAAAAAAATACAAGTTTCTTCCAACCAGGCAACACTATTATCAAGTACGCCGAGGCCCATTAACTAGGTGGATCGGGTTAAAACAGCAAGGAAATAGCCAGCACAGCAGCAGCCTGTTTAATTTAAGAAAGAAATCTCTGCTACTACGAGTACCGCTCCCTAGGGTTCTTGCAGAAAGATTCGTTGAAGAACCATGCAACTTACTCTTGAATTCGGGTATCTTTAAATTCTAATTTGTATCCCCGAATTCTTTAGGTTTCTCTGATTGAATTTATTATTCCATAGTAAATCATGGGATAGATTTGAGTGAGTAATTTTGATTCGTGTGATGCAGTGGTGGGCTTGAGCTTCTCTGTGATTCAGTGAAGATTCATAATGTGGATGTTAGCCCTAATAATGAAGTAGACAAGGTGAATTATTATTAATTTTAATTTTACTTTATTTTAGCGAGGAATGAAAATGCAGTTGATATGAAAAAAAAGGTGGTGCTTATTCTACATCATCTTTTATGGGATTGATGCCTTTCGCAGTTAACAATGAAAGATTTACTTGTATGGGTTCGTGCTAATCTGATCAAGGAGAGGCCAGAAATGTTCATGAAAGACGATTCTGTGTAAGTTTGAAGCTTTGTCTTTTACTTTTTTTTTTGTTGCTTGGTGAGCTTGTGCCTAATTTACCACTAAATGAGGCAAATGGAGGTTGGTTTAATTAGAAGCATCGGAACTTGATCGATTAGTTTCATCAATTAAGTTGACACTCTGATTTGTTATGCAGGAGACCTGGTGTTTTAGTTCTTGTCAATGATTGTGATTGGGAACTTAGCGGTCAGCTCGATACGCCTTTGGAGGAGAAGGATGTGGTGGTTTTTATCTCTACCTTGCACGGTGGTTAGTATGCGGTTGGTTATAGTATCTTTTCAGATCATAAGTGATTGAAGCCATATCTGTGAAACTCAAAACTAAAGAACTAATGTGAAAGAAATTTAAGGTTTAGAAAGAAAGGGGAATGGGGATTTTAACTTTGTCCTCAACTTCTTACTTCTTATGCCCCAGTGGCAAAATGTATGTTCTGTTGATGTTGCTGTACTATTTTCATGATAACTGACAGATAATGTGATTTACATGAAGTGAATGGAGATTATGCTGTTTGTTTTGTATATATTTTAGAGCCACACCATTCAAGAAGCAATTTGAAAGATAAATCAGTCACTTTTCTGTCCTTAACAGGAGCATTTGCCGGAATATGTCACAGAGAAACTGTGGTATAGCTTGTATATAGGTTCCTCGAGGCAACTTCACAGGACGGGTTCTCATTGCTAGTCCAATGGCAACATTTTCCTTGATACGTCACAATCCCTTTGTTTTCCAAACCGTCCTCTGCTATTAGGTTACATCTGTTTTATTCACAATTTACCAGAAAGAAATTCTGCACTGCCAATCACAACCCGTTGTATTGATGTCAAACGATTCTGTGATAAGAACTCTGCTTTCGATGCCTCACAACATGTATTGATGGAACAAGAAAGAGGAGTCTGTAACCTCTCAACAAATTTTAAGATTTAGGAAGGGGATGAAGGCATGAGGCCTTATTTTCTATGTTCCGTTGTGGTACTGTGCTATTCTACGTAAAGGATGGCATAGATGTGATTCTTTATCGAAAGGATGAGAAAAGTAGATCATAATGGTCATCAGGAAAACAAAAATACCGTCTTTATAGCCCTTGAGAGCTATAAAGACGTGCATTCCATTTCCTTGGGTATGATTTTAAAAATAGCTTACCTGATTGGCAACGCATCTGAGACCTACAACAACGCGTGTTCTCTGTAATCAGCAATCTAGCGAATGATGAAATTACCTCAAATCCACGACTCCATTCTCAGCCAGCTGGGCAGGCAAGCCTTTCTGCTCTAGAAGGTAAAAGGTTTATGACGTGGGGAAAAGAAGAAATGTTGAGAGTGGGATTTGAACCCACGCCCTTTCGGACCAGAACCTTAATCTGGCGCCTTAGACCAACTCGGCCATCTCAACATGTTTTGAAAGGGTTGTCGAAATCTTAAATAATTACAGTCTACATATGACCTGGTCCTCAGACCATGTCGCGGAACACTAAGCCAAATCCCTTAAATAATTAAAATAAATATTTGGTTCGTGAAAAGTTTGATTTTTATGTTGAGGAGAACACATCCCATGATCCTTGTCCAGGCATTTTTTTACACGAAAATACACAATCAGAGGACAAGCTTCAGATTATTGAATATATGATTTTGATGGGTTCAGATCTTTTCATTTTTTTTTAATATAAAGTACTAAAATTTTATTAGTTTGAACAACATAAGTCAATTAATTTATTTTTGTTGTTTTAAATTATTTTTTATTTTATTTTTTAATATTTAATTAATTTGAAATTAAATCAAGTTTGACTATTTAAACTAAATTAATTTATTTTTTTTTAATTTTATATTTGAATGTTAGATTGGTTAATAATTAAATTTTATAATTTATTTTAATTTTATAATGAATTGCAAACGGAATACTTGAATTAATCCAATATATTTCTATTTTAATATTTTAAAAATATCTTAAATTTTTTTGTTCAATTTATATTTTTAACAATCATTTTAGTTATTAAATTATGTTAGATCTAATTCAAATTATTTTTCTATTAAAAAATTAGCAACACTGATTATTTTTTTACAATAAATGTTTTTTGACCAAATCTAACCATGTAGGACAAACTAATCCCACCATAATCCATCATTTCCTAACAATAAGAAAAAAAGAGAGAGAAGAAACCTAACGAGGATGAACAGGCTCACTTGAAATACAAACCACGCCTAGTGCTAATTAATGACAGTTTGGTCATCGAAGTATGCAGCAGCTAATTTAGCATCTCATCTCTGAACATGAAGATCGAAAGAAGTTGAGCCACCTACCTTCAACTCTCCCCTTTGTATGACCAGCCTAACAGGAAAAGTATGAAACCAAATTTACATTGTCGTTGTTTTCTTTCATCAAGCTTGAAACTTTGAATTACAGATTATTTTGGTGCATAAGAAATGGGATCCCTAAGATTTCTACCAAACTAGTCTGCGTTTTCCTTTTCTTCATTATCATCCATCATTTTATCCCAAGCAGCTCAGCAGACGCGACTAGCCAGGTTTCCTGAATTACACTCACTGTAGTAAGGTAAGGGTACAAAAAGAAATAAGTTGTTAAATCATTGATGTGCCCAAAACATCATACAGAGCTTCAATAAAGCATCGACTCTCCATCCCATCAGCCCAAAATGACCTGACTGGACGCAATCTAATTGATAACTCTGGCAAAATGGTTGGCCATGCGGAGTTTAAACCTTTTGCTTTCCTTTGCGATGTCTGTCTAGCTCTGCTTCAGTATCTTCCAACTGCAGCTTTAGGGTGGATATCCTTCGTTCTACATCTTCCACAGTGCCTCTGCTGGTGGAAGGTTGATATGGTGATATGAAGTTTCTTGAAAAAGCTTTTAGAGATTCAACTCCAGTGACCTATTAAGTCAGATCTAGCTAATCAAATGGATGATTAACTTATAAAATATATTAAAAAAGTTACCACCGAGGCAAGAAGCCAAACGAAAGACAGAACATTCACTCCTCAATCTCCAGAATACAAAAACTAATATAGAAACAAATTCGATTTCATGGAAAATAAGCTACTTTTGGGAAAAATTCGCATATTTGCTCATCCTAAAATATATAAAAGGTAATAAAAAAATATAAGAACACATTAGCTAACTTGTTTTAAAGCCAGTTTAACTTGCTTGCTTTAAGAACATGAAAAAAAGAAAAAAAAAAGGAGCTGCCAAGCAAGCTCTGCAAATTATGGAAAATAGAAGTTCATTGGCAAGTCCTAAAGGTTATGGCATAAGTAGTTTACCTCTTGTGGCAACAATGGAAGTTTTGTAATGTTGAAGTCATCATACAACATATAGAACTGATCAAGGTACTTCTTTTGCATCCGCATTCTTGCTTTGAGTAATTTGGATTCGACATCTAGAATAAAAACACCAACCAACAATGGTTAACTAGCATTTATCTAAGAAAGAATATGAAAACCATAATGAGGTGGTAAGGGACGTTGATAACACCTTCTTCATCATAAAGGACTTGATTAATGATAATATTATGTGTATCAATCTCAACTTTGGCAAGCTCCTGAACCAGTCTCTCAGTTTCATAAAGGGAGAGGAACTCGGGAATGCAAACACAAACAAAGGTTGTCAAGTCCTGGAAGCAGGAAACACAAGTGCATAAAGTAAGATGAAAAAAAAATACAAAAGTGATAAAGAAACTGGAATGTTCAACAAGAAAACAAAAACACCATCTATATAGTGAAAATTTTCAGTGAGAATACAGCCCATCAAGAATATTTGCAAGTCATAGCTTCCAGACTTGAAAATCTACAGTATCTTATGTTATCAGCATTAAAAGCAAGAGAAACCAAACACCAGAAACAGCGGTGGAACTAGAAAATTTTAAATGGGGTGCGATCATAAAAACTACAAGGTTGGAGAGCAACTATTTTATTTTTGGAGGGGTTGAATGCATAACTATTATGAAAATTTTGAAAATTTAAGGATCAAAATTAAAATATTTTAAACTTTTGGGGTGCGATGTCCCCCTCAAAGCATGCTGTAGTTCCGTCCCTGACCAGAAATTACTCAATTAGATGGCCATGTTAAAGATAGTTATACCCTCTAACTATATGCAAGGCAACCATGATGTGATACAGCAGACACTTAGTCTTCCATCCAATTTAACAGCACTAAACTGCCATATGCCAATAATTACAATGATACCAGACAATAAGGAGAGAGAATGACAATAATGACAAGAACATCCTAAACCCAATAATTTTTTATTACCATTACTTCAGACACCTTCATCAATTATCTACCAGAGCCCTAAAGCAATAATGAGTTAGTGGAAGTCTTTCAATCCTCTAAATAAAAGCAGGTATAAATATACAATCAAACAAAAAACCTCAGCAACTGAAACATAGCATAATTAACAATTAAATGTACACAAACACAATCACACAGATGGAAGATCTTACTGGGTCTTTGAATTGCTTATTGACTTTCTCAATCACATCTTTCATGCTTTCAAGCCTTCCCAAGATGGCATCCTCGCCAAATTCATCATCAAGGCCAAATAGACGAGTCATCTGCCATAAAAATTCCAAGACTTAGCAATTGTACATCATTGTATTTTTAATAATTGAAAGTGACAAGAGAATTAATGATACAAAGGTGTGAAACTTAATATCAATCAACTGCATGGGAAAGGGAAATCCTGTAATCAGAGGCTAAAATTTATTCTCAGACATCAATGGTCAAAATGGAAAGAGCAACACACTACACTTCTTCCAAATGACAAGTAGCTATAGTGACAGAAGACTGCTGACAGAATCACAAAATCTAAAGCAAGAGGAACTGTAAATCCTATTATATCTTTTCTTCTTCTTCTTCTTCTTCTTCCTTTCTCAGATAACTAAACCTAGTATTTCTGGATTCAGCTCTTTAATCAAAAGCTTCAACATTCAAATACCAGGAAGAGAATAATGGAGAAGAGGAAAGAGCATAACCTACCATTGCCATCTGAGGCCATTCCTATAGCTGGCCCACCGATCATGGATGGTTCAGTATATTTTTGGTCGCACCATTCATGCCTAATGTATGAACAGTTACCAGGGGAATGAAAGGACAGCAACAAACGAGAAATGAACATGCAGTCATGCACAGGCCAAAGGCTCAAATATTGAACTGGCACATTGGAGATTGAATGTTCGTTCCACCACCCAACTCAAACATTACATAAAAGCTGAAGGGTACAGAAGCAATTATACTTTCATGCTATGGTGGCAGTGAGGAAAGGAGCACTGAAAATAAACAATGCCCTGGGGATACAAAACTGTAAAATAAGTAAGCAACTAGGAAACCCAAACAACAAAGGATCATCATAAATTGCATAGATAAAAAATTTCCAAAATAGAACATGACACGTTAGAGTGCAACATATTTTTCTCTCCTAGCCATTAAGCTAAGGGAAACAGATGTTGGAAGGAAAGGAAACACAGCTCTTCAATTCTTAGAACATGCTAAAATAG